GGGGGGGGGGTGGCGGCTGTGCGAGCGCGTTGGGGGACCCCACTGTAGGAACCGAGCTGGACAGCCGGACCGGGGTGACAGTGCGAGGACTGTGTGCGATGTGACCCTGTCTGGGGGAGCTGTGCGGGGACTTTGTGTGCGGTGTGTCCCCTATCGGGGAGCGACTTTGCAGGGACCGTGTGCAGTGCCCCTCCGGAAGTGCCTGCAGGGGATTGTGTGTGCGCTGTGACCCCCATCGGGGGTGACCCCCATCTTGGGGTGATCCCTGTTTGGCGGGGACTATGGGTTGTGATCCCCATCTGAGGGTGACTGCAGAGACTGTGTGTGCAGGTGTGACCTCGTGAGTGGGGACTGTGATTTCAGGTGTGACCCCTGTCTGGGGGTTGACCCCTGTCTGGGAGGACTGTGTGTGTGGAGGGGACTCCCATTTGTGGGTGACTCTGCAGTGTGACCCGGGTCCAGGAGTGACTGGATGTGCGACTGGGACCCCTGATTGGGTGACTCCGTGAGCCGCTGGTTCTGAGACCTGTGGCCGGGGCAGGTCTAGGCCCTTTGCCTGTGTGCCTGGCTTTGCGATGTGAGATGTGACTCTGGTTGACCTGTCTTCCGGGTGTGCCAGAGTGAGACAGGCATCTGGAGGTGCCCCTACAAACGTGTGAGATTGTTTCCCCACCTGCCGCCTCTGGAGTTCTGGCTGTAGGCGTGCCCGTGTCGCCGTGTGACGGTGACTGAGCGTGCTGCGGGTTCTGTGTGCAGCCTGAGTCTGGCTTTTCCTTTCTGTAACATCACTTAGGGCTGTGTGTTTATGTGCGTCTGTCTTTCTGTGTGGCTGTGACCCATTCTGGGTGATTGCATAGGTGCATCTCTGGGCTGCGTGTGCCGGCACTGTGCACGTTTTTGTGGTTCTGTGTGTGAGGCCCGAATCTGTTTGCCTGGCTTCTTCCTCTGGGGTTGATTGAGGGAACTGGTGCCCTCTGAGCCTGCAGGGTTGGCCTGGCTTGTCCTAGGCTCAGGCCTTGGGCCTCTGAGCAGGTCACTTCTCTTGTAGCTGCAGGGATGACCCTCTGGTCGTGCAGTCTTGCCCACCATCTCTTAAAGAACCCTTGAAGGCCTCTGGTCTAAACTCTTATCTATAACAAGGCTGAGTGTTTGCCTGCAGACCCTTAGCTATGTTTAGAGAAGACTGGAGAGGCGGCTCTGCAGTCTCAGGCCCAGGAAGTTCTGCAGCCGGCATCTGGGCTCTTCAGACCCTTTCTTTGTGGGAGGGAGTGGGGGAAGTTGACTGATAACACGGGGGAGGTTTGTGTGTCTGTGTGAGACGAGAGAATAATATTTGCGTTTGGTTTGACAGCCCCGTCTCCTGGTAGGGTAGCTCTTCAGCCTTGCTTTGCTGGGATTGGCAGAGATGTTTTCAGAGTGCCTGGGAACTTGAACCTTTTCCTTGGAGAGGTGAGGCCACTCATGAGTTGTCTACAGACAGAAGGTTCTAATAATCCCCCCTCTACATGCTGATTAGAGGCAAAAGAAATTGGCCATCAATGGCCTGCTACTGAGAAGCTGGATTGCAATAGCGCCTTTCCTTCCCACAGCGAGGAGGGCCTGTTTTCTGTTCCTATCTCTGCCGTCTGGCAATTTACAGAGTACTTTTATGCATGTAATCTCAGGTTCTCATCACAAAAACTTACCTGAGGTAAGGAGAGAGGTTGGCTTTAGGCTGAGCCTGTCAGCCCAGATTTCTGATTCAAAACCCGATGTCCCTAGAGTTACTTGCAAACTAATCTGTTCTTGTCTTACACATTTTTAAGGGCTTATTATTTTTTAGTTTCATACCATAAATTGGCCATTGTAAAGTGTACAATTCAGTGGTTTTTAGTATATTCATGAGATTATGCAACCATCACCACCATCTAATTCCAGAACATTTTCACCCCCCACCAAAATAGGAACTCTATACCCCTTAGCCCTCAGCTGCAGCCTCCCCCCGCCCTATTCTCCCTAACCCCAGGCAGCCACTAATCTACTTTCTGTATCTATGGATTTGCTTATTCTGAACATTTTATATAAATGGAATCACACCCTATGTGGCCTTTTATGTCTGGCTTCTTTCACTCAGCATCACGTTTTCTTTCTTTTTTTTTTTTTTTT